TCCCAAGCATCAGCCCATATTGGTCCAATATTGGGAGCCTTTATTGGACCGATGATTGGTCTCTTGGCTCCCAATATTGGACCGATATTGGACCGGTAAGAAATTTCTCACTGGGCGATTTGTCCCTCCAGATGTTAAGTCCAATACTCCAGTTTTCTCAGTGTAGGATATGAGAATTTACAATGTAAAAAGTGAATAGGTTAGTGGCGATAGTAAAATAAAATTCTTTCATTATTTTGTAATACTCAGATTTTCTAATGATCTCAAATTGAAACCATTAACTGTATCGATTTGTTGCGATGCAACATTTTGATACGTTTTATGTCTCATTTTCATATTCTTAGAATAACTGCATAATTCACTATAAATATTAGGGTAGAGTGGGGTAATAAAGCCATGGTGTAAAAAAGCCATTTGAGTTTTATTTAAAAACTATTAAACCGATTTATCAGCTGTTTAGAATATAAATACTATTAGGTAATACGCAACTTTTGAATCTAATTTGAATGTTGTACCTAGATTAATATTGTTTTTATTGTAATTTTAATTTTTTGTTGCTTTTTTGAAAACATTTTGGTAAACTTTTTAAACATATTACAATCTGATTATGTGAGCGAATAATAAAAGTAAATGTTTGTACATAAGGAGAAAAGTATACTGAAAACGTATACAATGTTAATTTTTGGAAATTGAACTGAATTAACAATTTATTTTTGCTTTTTTTAATAACTGGTCTTGGGTGTAAAAAAGCCAGGGCAAAAAATCCATTGAATATTTTGTGAAATTCACTTGTTTTCTATTTAAACTAATCTTCTTATTTTACAAAATTTCTCGTGTTTATTTAATAAAATAAATAAAAAAAACGAAAAAGTAGTTCAAAGTGCATTTAAAAAATAAACAAACAAACTTAATATAATTTTCAATTTTGCTTGCTAAAAACTCTTTCATAATTATTAAAATATTTTTCAAATAAGACTATTTGTCATATAAATAAAGGACAACTATAAAAATACCTAAATTGATAACATGTTTTGCTAAAATCGTAGGGTGGCTTTTTCACCCCACCAGGTGGTGCAAAAAAGCCACTTACAGTGCTTTCGTAAAACTCTTATAACTTAGTCCTTTCATGAGATAAAAAATATTTTCGTCAAGAATTTTCAAGCGTAGTAACTAAACTTTCAATAAAAATTGGAAATTTGAGAAAAAAATTTTAAATACAGATTTTACATCATCAAAAGTAAAAATGTGGCTTTTTTACCCCACTCTACCCTATATACTGTTTTATACAATAAACAGTTAATAAAAGTCAATTAGACCATTTTAAACAATTATTAATAAATAATCGCCGAATCACTTTGGACGAAATATAATGAACTGACCCAATTAATAATAATAAAAACTGCAAAACATTTACTTATAATTGATAACATAATTTAATGTCTTTTGTTATTAACGAAATCAAAAATGAACCTAATGTAAGTAAATCTTAATTTTCACTATAAAATAATGCTTTATTTGAATCGTAGTTTTAATTTCTTCCCATTTATTCTCTACATACTGGACCACCACAACAATGAGGATAAATTTTATTGTGATTGACACTTTGAAAACTAATTTGTTTTCCAGGACATGTTTTACTTCCGCATCTGAAATTATGAAACTAATATTATTAATAATGTTTGTTATTTCCTGTTTTATTATTATTACTGTTAATTTAGCATTGAACAAAAAAAAAGTAAAATAAAAGTTCGAATTTATTAAATAATTAAAAATCATATTATATTTATTTATATTTTAAAATATTAATTTTTTCATTTTTATTCATTGATATTATTAATATTAAGCTAAAAAGCATTAAACAAAAAATAAATGCACGGAGAAACTTTTATTACCACTAATTCTTAAAACTGGTGAGACATTTTAGTATGTTAGGTTAGATTCAAGGGAAAAACGACATAGGTTATAGAAATTGCTATTGCGACTATCAAATACACTCATTAAGTATATATTTTACAGCTATTCATAAGGAAACTAACGAAAATTAGTATGTTGTTTTAGAAAGAAAATAATAATTTTTGCAAAGTTCGGAAAGCCATGAATTAAAAAGAAACACAACAAATTAATTGTCTATAGATACTCATAGAGACGATAGTGATACTTGGATCTGATGGTAGATGGCATTAGTGTATGTTACTGTAACTGTAGGTAAATATATTTAACACGACGTAAGAACCTAACCTATATTATTAACGCACACACGCACACGCAAGTAAAGACACGACGATTGGTCACGGAAACCGAAAGATCGCACGATTCGTTAGAAGTACACAGCTGAATCGTCTTTATATATTAAACGAGTGGAAAAATATGTACCTTCGAGAAAGAGCATTTTTTAAAATAACTTTCTAATCAAATTATGTAAATAAGTAAAAGTCGTGAAAAAAATTATGTTATATTGAGGAACAGTTCTTGAATTTAATTTGGCATGAGGAGACATTCACGTTTATTAATAAAAGGTTTTTTTCTTTCATACACGTGTGAATTTCAACTTCGAAAACATTAGGGTTAGTTCGCGACGTCAGCACTGCAAAAATAAGTGTCTTATTTGATATCTTAAAATAAGATGTAAGATGGAAAAATGGTATCTTACATCTTAAAATAAGATGTTTTCTAAAGTATCTTACTGATTTTTAAGATGTTTTATACGTCTTAGATATTTCTTCTATCTTAAAAAAGTAAGATACTTCTGTAAGTTTTTTAAAGTATCTTAAATTAAGATGTTTCTGTCTCAATAAGATGTTTAGCGATAAGATACTTGTGAATTGTAAGATGCGAAAAAATTTTAAGTTACTAAAAACTAAGATACATAAAATGTCTTACATATAAGCCCATAGTTAACCTCAAAACTTTTTTCCCGAAAAATATGCTGAAAATATGTACAAAGATGCTTTTAGTATCTTAAATTAAGATATTTTAAATGACTAAAAAGTGACTGCAATAACATCTTAGAAATGACTACCAAAACATCTTAAATAAGATACTTCTTTTTGCAGTGAGGTGATGGACTCGGTGATGCTCGGGCGAAATCGGTTAAGTCCGCCCGCAGTCCTTCCAAAATTGGTATGTTACGTTAGAATGTCTGTTATATATAGTCTATCTATATGTGGAAAAAAGGTTAGAATTACCGTATTATTTCACAAACAAAAATTGGCATCTTATTCTTTTCTAAAGAAAAATAAGACTATTTCTAATGCAGATGGTAATTTTTGTACACCGAAGGTTGCTTAATATAATTATAACGAACTTACCATATTTTCGTATTAATGTTGAAATTATTAGCACAACGCACAAAAAATCCTCACATTCTAACGTACTTTTAGAATAAAGATAACCAAATATATTTAATATTAGAAGAAAAAGTTTCTCCGTGTGGGTTAGAATTCGTGAAATTTTCACAAAAAATAAAAAGTATTTTTTTTAAATCGAAATGTTGAAAAAACAGAAAAAAAAATTTTTTTTGTAAAAGTTATTGCAAAATGAATTTTTTTAAAACATTTTAAACAAAATTTTATTTCTTCTAAATGAATGAACCGATTTAAATAAATCAAGCGGGAATATAAAGGGGATAAAATAAACTTTCGTTTATAATTAGAAAATTTTTAAAAAGTTTATTTTTTTAATAATTATTCAATAAATTTTGTCGAATTAACATTTGCATTCAATTATATAACTATAAAAATAATCAAAAACTAATAACTGTAGCGTTAAAGTGCACTACACCGCCTAAATTTAATTTTCATTATAACTTTTTAAATAAATGTCGCTCATAAATTTTCTCAACGGATTTTGATTCCTTATAGTTTTAATTCTATGTTAAGATTTTTCTCAAATTTTTAAAAGCTGCAAACCATTAAAAAAGATAAGTTGTTTATAAAAAATTTATTTAATAATTATTTAAAAATAAACTTTTTAAAAATTTTCTAATTATAAGCGAAAGTATATTTTATCCCCTTTATATTCCCGCTTGGTTTATTTAAATCGGTTCATTCATTTGGAAGAAATAAAATTTTGTTTAAAAAGTTTCAAAAAAATTCATTTTGCAATAACTTTTACGAAAAAATTTTTTTTTCTGTTTTATGGTGGACACATTCCCAAGGCCAAGTAGAAATGTTTATTCAACATTTCGATTTAAAAAAATACTTTTTATTTTTTGGGAAAATTTCACGAATTCTGACCCAAATAAAAATTGAAATTTGTTAAATTAAAATATTTTCAAATACATTTACCCTAACACAGAGTAATTTTTGCCGTAAGTACAGACTACTTTGACACAAGTTGTTTCAGGTTCCTCAAGAGGTTGCTCCCCACGATTACAGTTGACTAAAGTTAAAAATATTTTTTTGAAGATATTTTAAAGCTTTGTTTTTACTTAATGTAATTAAAAAATTATTTTATTCTTACTATTAAATTCTTTCTTCTTTTTGTCAAATTATTTTTATTTGCATATTCTTAATGTTATTATTTATAACATAATTATATTTATTAAATTATAATTATATTATTTTTACAGTTCCTTTTCATTTGCTTATGAAAAAAAAAAAATTTGTACTCACGAATTTCTGCATATTGTTCAGATAAATTACAATAAAAAATAAGGATCGATAATAGTAAAAGTAACAGCTTCATATTGTCTCTCGAGGAAGTGACAGACTAATAAAGAATCCAATAAGCAATACTGTAAATTTATAAATATTTAGCTCCAACTGTACGCAAAAAGTTTACAAGTTCATGATTAAGAAATAAATTGTAATTCTATTTATATTAACGATCCTCTGGTTCAAGGATTGTTACCAATTGCGACTAATGCCAATAAACAAATCAATTTTCAAAACACTTTATAGTAATAATAACATTATTAATATTAGTAAACCAATAGCGTACTTAATTACATTTTTTAAGGGAAGTAAGCAGAGTCATTTAAAAAAATAAACGTCTATAAAATTTGTTTAACTGAAATTTTTTATTAATTAAATGGTAATATTTAAAACTTTATAAAATTATTGAATAGGTATTGTTTATTTTATTTTCACACAATGGTTCACCACAGCAATTGGGATATATCAAAGCATTGTTGACTTCTTTGTAAGAAATTTGTGTACCTTCCACGCATTTTGATTCTGGACAACTGAAAAAATTATATATATTCATCAATTTCTCTAATTTTATAACAGTTGTTCTTTAACCCCTCCGCTGTCAACGAGATTTCCACTGTTTGGGCCAAAAGTGTGTTGAAAAAATTTTTAATAGATTTTTATGAAACTTGGTATCCTGATTACGAATCTAACATTAGTTTTCCAAAATTCAAAATGGCGGATCAAATATGTCGGACAACGAAATAAAAAATTGATCAGATTGGCTTGAAACTGAATACTTAAGCATTTTCAGGGTCGCTGATTACGAATCTGAAATCAGTTTTTCAAAATTCAAAATATCTGGTTCAATATGTGCGGAAAATTTTTTAAAATTTATTGAATTTGTTTGAAACTGGTTAATCTGAAATCAGTATGATAATTTTTGGTAAAATTAAATTTCGATAAATACCCTAAAAAACTAATGTCAGATTCGTAATCAGCGACCCTAAAAACCCCCGAGTATTCAGTTTCAAGCCATTATAATTAATTTTTTATTTTGTCGTCCGCCATATTGGATCCGCCATTTTAAATTTTGGAAAACTAATGTTAGATTTCTAATCAGCGACCCTTAAAACTCCCGAGTAACAAGTTTCAAACAAATTCGACGAATTTTGAAAAAATTTCCGACATCTTGGATCCGCCATTTTGAATTTCTAAAAACTGATGTCAGATTCGTAATCAGCGACCCCAAAAATCCCCGAGTATTACGCTTCAAGTCAATCTGATCAATTTTTTATTTTGTTGTCCGCCATATTGGATCCGCCATTTTGAATTTTTGAAAACGAATGTCATATTCGTAATCAGCGATCTCGAAAATCCCCGATTAACCGGTTTTAGGAACATTTAAGAAGTTTTTATTCACCTTTTTTAAATAGCGCATATATATGGGTCATGAACACTTTTGGCCAGTTTAGTTTTGCGCATATATATGCGTCAGCGACAGTCAACGGGTTAAAGTTAATACAAAAAATAAATAATAATATATATGATATTTATAAATAGCATACCTATGATATAAATAAATAAATGACAATAAAGAAAAAAATATCAAATTTTTAAATTAATCCTTACCATACCCATATCTTAAATGATTATTATTAAAAATGATAAAAGCAATTTATTATTGTTAATTCATTTCATTATAGATAAGTACATAAATTGAAAATCTCAATTATAATTTAAAAGTTTAATAAAATAATTCAATAATCATTGTACAATAATTTGCAATTATTAAATACTTACTCAACTTTCAAACGTAAGCTTCCAAATTTATTGAAAGAACATCGAATTTCATAACAATTATTTTCGCTAATTTTCGAATGGATTTCATCACTGTCTGTACAATTAACTACAATTAAACAAACAACATGAATAAAAGAAGTACAAAACTAATAAAAAAAATAAATAATACTCTCATATTGAAAAGAATAAGTGAATAAAATACTTTTGCACATTTTTTCTATAAATAACTAATAACTCACCATATTTCACTTTTTGGAAAGAAAAAGTGACACAAATTAGAAATATTGATAAGACTAATAATAGCTTCATTTTTGAACGGCAGTTGATTGTAAACTAACAAGAATATCATTCCATCGTCTTTTAGACTTTGTTCTCTTTTTCTTCAGTTTAATTAATTCAATCGCAATTTTATTTATATATATTTATTTTCATTTATTAACATTTGCATACTATGAAGGTTGTACTAAAAGTTGAATTTCGAGTTTTTAATTTTATTCTACTTAAGGGTATGTGGAATCAGCCAACTTCAATTAATACATGTATTAATATTCCCACCGGTTTTCTAAAAAAATATTTAATAAATCTTGACAAAATATAAGAAAAATAATATTTTATTTATTGAGGCATTGATCTCTAGTCCAATTATTACAAAAATTTGCTATTAAATATTATTTTTCATTTAATAAAAAGTTTGATATTTTTTGAGAAAAAAAGACAATCAAATACAAATTAATATTGAAAAAGATGAATAAATTTATATTTTTCTATGTTAACATTCATTTTTTTCAATGGCAATTTGTATTCGATTGTCTTTTTTTCTCGAAAATTGTCAAAAAAATGAAAGTTTGAATAGAAAAATATAAATTTATTCATTTTTTTTAATATTAATTTGTATTTGATTGTCTTTTTTTCTCAGAAAATATCAAACTTTTTATTAAATGAAAAATAATATTTAAAAGCAAATTTTTGTATTAATTGGATTAGAGATCCATGCCTCAATAAATAAAATATATTATTTTTTTTATATTTTGTCAAGATTTATTAAATATTTTTTTAGAAAACTGGTGGGAATATTAATACATGTATTAATTGAAGTTGGCTGATTCCACATACCCTTAACATTAAAATTCAAGGTCCTAATAATAATCTCCGTATATGTGTCTTTTAAAGTTTTATTCAACATTATTTCCTTTACTTTTATCGCAAATGATTATACAATTAATTGGGTCAATTAGCAGTTTAAGAGTATTAAATTATATTTACCTATACTAATACTAAGTCTTTCTTTATTTGGAAAGAAAGAACTACATTTTTTTACTTGTAGAATATTTTACTTTATATTTTTTAATTATTACTAACAAAAAAGTTCTAATTATTAAAAATGTTTGAGAAATAAATGCCCGGGGTAAATAATTATTAATAATCAGATAAATCGTCACAGCAATCAGGGTAAATGTTTGATTTATTGTAATGCGTTGCTGGTTTTCCAATTTCACATTTTATATGTGGACAGCTGTAATAATTTTATTATTATCGATTAATTAATATATTTTTACTGTAAATTATATTATAAATTGTTAATTTATAATTATAAGAAAAATTTTTTGTGTAAAATAAAAGAAGCGGAACGAAGTGCCGGATTTGGGATAACGAGAGTAAAAGAGAAAGCCTTGAACTTCTCACTTACTCTTATTATCCCCACTCCTGGACTAGAATTCCCCTTCTCACTAGTCATAATTTTTAAAGAAATTTAATCTAGAGTGACATTTAAAGAGTAAAATAATTAAATTTATATTTACGGATATATATAATCATGATCATACTTCCCACTTTTACAGATAACTTCAAAGCATCCATCTTTTATTTTCGGATTTGACATATATTTGTGTTCATTAGGGCAATTCACTAAAAGAAAAAAATTAACCTCATCATGTGTCAGGTTATAGTATGTTCAATTGACATTTACTGCTAATGGAATTTAAGTATTCAATTATTCACATTTCCATTAGTTTTAAATTCACTTAAAAGTGATTCAAAAATATCAACATCAATTATTTACATTGCTAGGTATTAATAATTCAATAAATTAAAATACAATAATCGAAAGTTATTTACAAGCATTAAAAAATAAAAGTGGTCAATAATTGGTAATTAAATAAAAATTATTAAAAATAATTAAAACGAAATAAAATTGTTTTATTTTTTTATTTTTATATGGATAGATAGGTATTCAATACAAAATCAAACATGTCGAATATATTTCTGAAAAAGGAACAATTTAATCTGCAATACACTTAAAAAAAATTTATTTCATTCAAATAACCGATTATTTGTTCATTATGAAATTCAAGTAAATATTTAATTGATAATTGTAAAGTAGTTGGTTATTTGATTCATATAAAAATTTTTTTCAGGTATGTATTTAAAAAAATGTCAGTTACCGTATTTTGATTTTTGTTCTGTCAAAATAACACATAGTAAAAATACTGATAGTATAGCATTAAAATTTTCATGGTTATGTCCGTATATTTACAACCAGAATTATAATTTAAAATATCGTTTTAAAAATTCACTGTTGTTCCTTCTTTACAAGTTTCTATCTCACTGAGAAAGTTTTTTATCCCTGGTCGTATAAATATACGAAATACTATAGTTTCGTAATTGGTGAATTATTCGACACTTTTGACATATCTTATTTGACAAAGATAAATAAAAAAGTAGAGATTCTCATATTTGGGTCACCGGAATAGATTATTGTTTCTTTTATTTAAAAAATGGTGAGTATTGGTGTAAATTATTACAAATGTATTTAAATATGTTTATTTAAGAAATAATTATATAATTTAATGACATTAATCTTCCATAAATAATTATTATCCAGATGGTACGAAAGTTTTTCATGAAAAACTTGCTATACAGTATCCTAAAGTTTTCGTGGTCGCTGAATCCTAATTTTATGTCAGATTTACAAAATTTAAAATGGCAGATCCAATATGGCGACTTGGAAAATTCAAAAATTGATCTGAATTTGAATTTGATATACGTTTTTCAAATTTTAAAATCGTTGATTTAATATAGCAAAACAAATTTTTTGAAAAGTACACGGAGAGAAAAAAAAGAGAGCCGTTTGATTTGGCAAGAGAGCGCTGTTTTCCCTTTATAAAGCACAGCAGTAGCGCCGCAAACGTCGAACGGTTATACTTTTTGAGGAGTATCGGTTCTCTTCTCCACACAAATAGAGCCGCTTAATTTCCAAAAAGTGTACCCGCTTTCCCCAAAAAGGAGAACCGTTCTCCCCTCGAGAGTAAGCAGCGTGTTTAACCTCAAGTTGAACGGCTGTTTCGCATTTAACGCAACCGCTCTACCGACAGGTAGAACCGCTTACTTTTTTTTCTCTCCGTGTACCGGATATGTCTAAAATGTTAAGTTGGGTTTTTTTGTGATAAATAATTCTAAATTTGATGGCAGAATTAAAAATTATGAGTTCAAAAACTACCAAATAAACATTTTTGGACAAATCTATCTAAATTTAAAAAATTTGTAGATAACAGTGGGTTCGATATTTCAAATTTATACAAACTAATATCAGATTCATAATCAGCGACTCCAAAAACCCCCGAGTATAAGGAGTTTCAAGAGAATCTGATCAATTTTGCTTCCTCATGGAAGAAGCTTTGCAGTCGTTTAATTTATAAAATTTTTAAAATATTCATTTTTTCTTTCAGTTATTTAATTCTTGATTTATATAGTTTAAGGTTCTGAAAAAAAATTTTACGAAAAAGGTCCAGAACACAATTAATTATTCATTTGTTTATTATTAACAATTATTTTTTACAATAAATAATTTTTTTGTAATTGATTGTATTGATGCAAACAAATATTTATTTGAATTGAAAACTATGCATTATTGAATTAAGTAATTTTCATAATTGATTTAAAGCAATATTTATTAGATCAAATTATTCCATTCAATTGACTTAAATAATTTGTAATATGTAGATAAATGTTTAACCCTCTTAAATGATGGTAATATTTATAAACAAGTAAACAAAGATCCTACTCAAATTATACAAAGACGAATGAATGCCAAAGTTGATTTGCTTCTCAAGAATTCCTATATAAATTGTCCAATGTCGAAGCATCTTAAATCTTATAATTCGGTAGCTCCTAAATTTTATGGTCTGCCAAAAATTCATAAATCACAGGTTCCAATGAGACCAGTCACTTCTTTTTGTGGATTACCAACTTACAATTTGTCACAATTCATTAGTACGCCCATTAAGAAAATTATTAGAAATTCAGAGTTTCATGTAAAAAATAGTTTTGAGTTTATAAATAAAATTAAAGATTTTCATATTCCTAACGACTTCATTTTGGTCTCACTTGATGTTAAATCACTTTTTACAAACGTTCCTAAAGAATTAGTTTTGAAATGCACAAAATTAAAATGGAGAGAAATCAGGCAGCACACAGATATTCCCGACAATATATTTTTAGACATTTTAGAATTTTGTATTGATAGTGCGTATTGTTCATTCAATGGTAAATTTTATAAACAGATTTTTGGTACTCCGATGGGTTCTCCATTATCTGGCACCATAGCTGACTTAGTGATGGAGAAACTTGAATCGGATGTTCTTAAGAAATTGGATTTTGAATGTATTTTTTATTGTAGGTATGTGGATGATGTTATTACATGTATCCACAAGGATAACGTTAATTGTCTTCTTGATGCCTTCAATGGCTATAATAATAATATACAGTTTACCATTGAAATTGAAAATAATGGTCGCATTAGTTTTTTGGACACCCTTCTAATAAGAGAGAGCAACTCTATCATGACTGATTGGTATCACAAAGATACTTTTTCTGGTAGATATTTAAACTACAATTCTAATGTTTCTGTTAAAGATAAAATTTCCATTGTTTATGGCTTGGTGGACAGAGCCATTAAACTATCTGATAAAAAAAAAATTTTTAATGATAATTTGAAATTTGTTCACGATATCCTAATTGAAAATAATTACCCTGTAACCTTTTTAAATAAATATACTAATTTACGTTACCAATTTTTATTAAATAACAATGCTAATAATAATAATAATATCAAAGAACCTTTTTCTTCCTCTAATGTAGTCGTTTTGCCTTACGTAAATGAGCTGCAATATTTTTTTAAAAGTTTATTTAATGAGTACAATGTTGGTGTCGTTTTCTCTTATGATAAGGATCCGTTTAAAATTTTTTCAAAAAATAAAGACCCTACTTCTTTTGATTTAAAATCGCATTTGGTTTATTGTGTACCTTGCCAATGTGGAGCTTGCTACATTGGTGAGACTGGTAGATATATTAAAGACAGACTAAGTGAACATAAGAGGGATTGTAGAAATGATAGTAAAAAACAGCTTTGGTCACTCATGCACATGAGAATGACCATCTATTTAATTTCGAAGCAACAAACATCATATGTAACGAACGAAATTACAGACGAAGGAAATTTAGAGAGATGTTTCACATTCTCAAGTCCGAAAACTCTGTTAATAAACAGACTGATTTAAATAATTTGAATCAGTTTTATCATTCGTTAATTCTCAGTACTAATTAACTAATATATTTATTTTGTATTAAAAATTTTCTTAGATTACTGCTTATTTGAAATTTGAATTTACCTATTGTATGGGTTTCTTCCTTACCATATATAGAGGTACTTTTCAGTTTCACTTACTATCACTGTAATTCACCAATATATTTGAACAAGTTGAACAAGAGGGATCAAGCATGCGAACACATGTTTTTTCTTTCCTCTTCTTTTTCCGTTTGTAAATTTTTTTTTTTTTTTTTATTATTAACAACATGTTTTATTTTAAATTTGTCCTTGTTGACAAATTAGGATGTGTTTTTTTGAATTATATTTTTAGTAAATTTCCGGGAAGAAACCTTCTTGGTAAGTTATAGGTTATGTTATAGGTTATGTTCTTCTAGATATTTTTTAATATATTTCTTTCATTAATAATTGTATGTAATTTCAGTTTAAAATTATCTGAGGATGCCTGTCGTCGACGGGCGAAAGCTAATAAATAATTATAAAATTATATGAATGGATTTTTTCAAAAAAACAAAGTAAGATCTCACTTAAATAATTTGTATTTGGTAGGGGAGAGTCTCCAGTTGTGAGACGGGTTTTATTTTTGATCCGTAAATAGTAAACGGGTAAACGAAATTGTAAATAAAATACACCGTTCGAAAGGTAACAGAAATACGCAACTTTTATTAAAAGAAAGTATAGTGTTTCGATGAACTCAAAATTGGATTTATTGAAAAAACGCTTTTTAGTCGATTTATCACACACAGTGTTGGTATTTAACAAAAACAGTTTATATATCCGCTTCGGCGTACACGAAAAAGTTGGCTCATATAAAAAGAAATGTTTTTATATAAACCAAACGGCTTTTTAATATTGCTATTTTAAAAAAAATTGACTGTCTCACAACTGGAGACTCTCTCCTACAAATACCCAGTGAGAAATTGCCAATAGACTTTAATCGGTCCAATATCGGTCCAATATTGGTTGCCGTGCTGGGCGCCGATTGACTCCCAATATGGGCTGATGCTTGGGATGTAACGGGTTCGCCAAGCATCGGTTGTTAATATTGGTCCAATATTGACCGAATATTGGCAACCAAGAGAAAAAATTTTTTTAAATAAATTTTTTTAATTAAATAATAATAATAAAAAATTAATGTTTATAATTTTTGTTTAATATATTCATTTGTTTAATTATTTATTTTTAATAATTCATGTAAATAATAGGTAAATAATTTATTATTATTTATAAATTATAATTATTTAAAAATGCAGCAGCTATTAGGAAATAGCATTCTGCAAAAAAATTCTATCATTGAAAAATCAATGATAGGCGCCCAACGGGAAGTTGCCAATGGTAACGATTGGTTCAATAATGGACCATGCTTGGTGCCCAATGATTTTTTCTTGGCAAAACAATTGGCAACCATCATTGGACCACCAATGGTTTAAACTTGGGATGATCACTCTACTGCCAATGATTGGTAGCCAAGTATCGGGCCAATATTAGTTGCCAAGGAATTGCCAAGGAAACAAAATCGATTTATAAAAGCTTGATTTTTTATTGTCAGCCAACAAAAAACCAAGGTTTTGAAAAAATTTTTTTTTTAATTATTAATTAAAATTCATTTTTAAAAAATATATATTTTTTTAAATTAATAGAACATATTAATTTAATTTTTCACCTCTGATAAAACAAAGGTGAAAGACTGATAAAAATTCCCTCACCGTATCTCACAGTGGAGGGATAACTGTGAATGTCTTTGCAAGAGTGGAGCAGGTACTTATAGAGCCAGTGGAACAGGTCACAAGCGAGAAGAAATCACTAGCATGCTCTCTGGCGGCGATTGTCGGAACTGTTTTCTGGCGCGCATGCATATCCTGACATTATCGACACAGCGCTTGGCAACCAACGTTGCGCCACTTCCGACAAGCGCCGCCAGAGTGCATGCTAGTGATTTCTTCTCGCTTGTGACCTGTTACACTGGCTCTATAAGTACCTGCTCCTCTC